TTTGCGACCCTCTGAAATATTCCAGCAACCCACCTTTGGGTCATGACTCACAGGTTGAGAAATACTGTGCTAGGCAGTGCTTTTGTGAAAGCATCCTCTGCCCACTTGCTTCCAGATGCTGAAAAAATGTAACAGCTGCTTGGTGCAGCGAGTCTCTTTTGGGATCTTGGTCTCAGGCTGCTTCTGGGCAAATGCTCAGCACCACCCTAACGTTTTCCCAACATTTAGCAGAGGTGGAATGGGAGGGAGGGAGGGAGGCATGCCCACACAGCAGCTCTGCCTAGCTCAGTCAGCAGCAGCAGAGGCAGAAACACCTTCCCAGTCCTTCTACAGTAACTGAAGGTACCATGCAGTCGGCCATTTCTAACTGACCTGTGAAACTCCCATTGTGCTGTTCTTTGATCATTCCTATGCGTCTCTGGTCACAGTCTGTTCCATTCTCTGCCATTTCATAGATCAGTCACTTGTGAGGATCTAAGAACAATAAAGAGAAAAAAGGTATTCTGTTTACCAAGAGCAGGAACAAAAAACTGTACTTAAAACACATTCTGAGGATTCAGGGCAGGCATTCTGCATCAGTGATCCAAGGTCCACAGACACCAATACTGAATCCTTACCGTGCACTGGAGAAAATGAATGAGTTGCCAGAAAATGGCAACAACTGTTAAAAACCTGCAACACTGAAAGGAACGTGAACTTCCCAGCAAAATACCACAGCTCCCTAAAGTATGCTTCTGTTCAACTTTAATTACACCCCGCTACCAATCAACTCATTTCTGACAACTCTAAACTTGCCTTAAAGGGCAACTTTAAGGCAAGTTCCAATTCAGCCTAAGCATTAGCTACCCTTAATGTGACACACGCGAGTTTCAGCCCTGGAGGGAGTGCCTTAAATTAGGATCCTTTTGCTCATACTTTACTACCGTTAATATCTCCTGAAAACTGAAACGAGGTGAAGGTAGCAAGCAGGGACACTACTGCAGCTGCCCATGTTCAGACCTGCTATAGTATATCATCAACTGGTCTGCAACCAACCGAGGCAGAAGTCAAATATAAGGATCAAAACACACCCGGACAAACTCTGAAATAAATAATTTAAACCATGCTCTTCACATGAGAAACTAGATCACACTCTATGGGGGCACAACGTCACACAGACAGCAGGCTACCAGAGCAGTTCATCAGCTTTTATAACAATGACCTAATTCAGGAGCCAGGACATAGAGTGGCTCCTGGTTTTCTAAACAATCCAAATACCTAAAACCAGTAAAAGTACATACATCAAACGCACCTGCCTCTTGAGCCATACCCAGATTCAGTCTCCGTGTCCACTCCTAAACAACTCAGGCGATTAAGTACACACTCTCGGAGTGCAAGTGTTGCAACAAGCAATAGGACAGCACAAAATTGGATGTTGCAACAGAGGTTTTGTAGGGAACAGCTGGTGATCCTTATGCAGTCGGCCCAGAGAAAATAACCCAGTTAAGTTAGTTAACTTTAAAATAGCCCCAGGAATATTGTTTTTGGAAGAACTGCTCTAGGAAGCAAACATCATACTTTTATTAAGTTTCTCTTTGCAAGCAAAATAAGAGCTCACGGTTTTGGTAGGCTTCTCATGTTGGAAGAAGTTGTGGAGTATTAAAAAGATAGGTTACGTAACTGGTACACGGAAGGAAATGAGTCTTCCTTAGAATGATTACACTTGCCCCCGCCACATGGGGTACAAATATGGGTCGGGACCTGAACAGACCCTCAGGTTTGGCACGTAGGAGAGCGGGGAGCTTCCTTCAGCTTAGAACTAGTGGCTCTATACCCAGCGGCTCTGTACCCAGCCAGTGGCAAGAGGCATCAAGTAATTATCCTCAGGGTGCCCTTCCCAACTTCCGTAGCTTTACAAATCAGACTTAAGTTAAACATTTCTCTCAACCGTTTCCGCACACAATGCCTCCCCCACACCCCAACCAGGAGAAACTGCCTGCACACAAAGGGCTGGCAAAACCACAAAGGGAACAGAGGATCAAGTTTAGATTCATTTCTTCAGTTTCAGGAGGCTCCTATGTTACTTGCACCACTAACAAAACCCCCTTCCATTGGAAATCTTTTGTAAGTCAACCCTTTAAATACCTATAAAGTGCCTTGCTGCCATTGAGATCAGGGCTTCAGGAACAAACTTGGTCAAGTGTCAGCTGGGTCTCATTGAGAAGCCTCTCCAAAATCCAGTCTCCTGAATTTTGCAGGCAAGCTCGAGCACAGGGCTTACAGTTAGACAGACAAGAAAACCTGCTGTAGCCACTCTGCAAATCCAGAGTCTGGCTTGGTCACACGCCCAAAGCCCCCCATCAGGAACAAAGCTGAGTGACCTTGCAAACGCTTGCTTTTGCAGAATGCTAGATACCCACAAGGCTCCAGAGCCCGCTATGCCCAGGATTGAAATGCGGCAGCAAGCAGCTCTACAGCACAGTTACACCGTCATACGAAAACCAGCGCTCCAGGTTTTACTCAGAACACCTGCTCAAACGGAAGTAGAGTCCATGGGGCCCAATTCTCCTTCCACGCAAGGCTGCATGTCAGCGTGAAACCACTGAAGTGACTGGAGTTACACCAATGCACATCAGAAGAAAGAGGTAGCTATGGTACTGTGTTGCTTATAAGCTGAC